TTTACCGAGGACCCTCCGGCAACAAGGATCCTTCTTACAAAATGGTTGGCAATGTAAAGAGTGATCACCAGTCCATAAAGGTGGGGATCCTGGACATTCGCTCTATTTGTTTTGTCGAAATTGATCTCCTTGTTGTTTTTTACTAATGTGTTCTTCTGAGGCCTTTCTTATTTCTTTGGCTTCAACACTTTCGCATGCCTTTTGTAAAAAAATAAGCGGTAACACAAATGTCAGATCCTCTAGATATCACATTGATTAGCTTGGTGTCCGCAAGAGGGGATCTTGGTTTCTTTAGGATCTTATGAGGATCCTAATCCTTTTCTTTGGATTTATCTTTGCTTCTTCCAAGGATCTCTTTGAGGTATGAATTATTGAGTAGGTAATTGATCTTCTTCCTTAGGGCTATGTAATCTTCCTTATTGTGACTAAATTCATAGTGGTATTCACACAATTTGGACTTATCTTTCCATGTGCAACACGTTTCTCCCTTTCTTGGCCATCTTGCTTTGTCTCCAATTGCGACAACCCAAAAGATTTGAATCAAACAAGGTCTAAATTGTAACACTATTATAAAAAAAAACATGAAAGCCAAAAGGGTATAAGTATATATATATATATATATATATATATATATATATATATATATATATATATATATACTTTGCAAATCTAAGTTATGACAATTTCTTCAAGATAAAATCAAATATTTGAAAACATAAATTACGAACTAATTACTTATAATCATAAGCATAGGACCCCACCCATTTAATGTCTACCGTGTATAAAACCCAAAATCATAATGTCTAGAAAGTTTTATGACCAAAATCAACCCCAAGCTAGCCCATTAGAGGTGAAAACACACACTAATGACCCACTAAGGCCGAAAACACCTTTCCGTGGGGTATAGGACTGAAAACACTTCAATCCTTGTCTAGGATTGAAATCATTTGTGATTTCGTTGATACTATAGTTTTTTTAAGGAGGTTTGTGGTCTAGGATGACGATAAGACAAGAAGAGTTGACTTTAGGATTTGAAAACTCAACCATTTCCAATGGAATAACACTAACCCACGAACTATCCATCAAATATCAATGTTTTAACCTCCATACTTCAAAGTAAATTTCTTATCATCACCTTTCTTTTATTAAACACGAAAAAACTCCCTCAATTATCACAAATACCTTTCTACTCACTGTGAAATTCCCATCTGCTCTCAAGGGATCAAGCTTCAATCTTTTCGGAGGCTTAATTCTTCAAGCATTTTCCTAGGTTTTGGTAAGTAAATTCAAGACTCCTTGGCATCCATTTCAATTCTATGTTTAGTTCATTCCAATTACACACTCTAAATGTGTTAAAACACTTAGGATAAAGCCATCTCCAAGGAAGTCCATCTATTTCAAGCAAGAGTGTAGACATGGAGTCTTCTCAACATGTCTTCAAATCCATCCACCAAAACCACTCAAAGTGAGTTCATACCCCTGTATTTTAAAATTTTTTCATATTTTAGGGGGGGGGGGGGATACAAGTAAAACTTTGTTTATCCCACATATAATTTCATGTATTCACTACAAGAAAAAGACCCTTTTATGACGTGCAAACCACGACACTCAGTGATCTATGTTAAGCAAAGGAGAGTGACATTAAAAGAGTGTCGTCTATTCAAAAAATTTAAGGATTTAGGTTACGCATTATTGTGAGCCCTTAAATAGTGTCTCATGTAAAAAAATTAAAAACACGGAGGGCACTCGTGCGTCCTCTGTGAATGTCGTTTTATATTTTTTTTAAGAAACGCGCGTCTCTAAGAGGGAAAATGAAATCCCCAAATTTTTTAAACACCCGCCTTCTTCTTCTACATTCATTTCCATATGACTCTCATATCTACGCTACATCGTCTCCACCTCTCACCCACATCCACTACCTCACAAAATTTTCACAAGCTAACGATTCCAGAGCCTACTAGCGATTGGGGGTTATTTTCACATCTGCTCTACTTCCCATCGTCCATCTACTTCCACCCTAGATCTGACGATTGAAGAGTACAAATATGTGTAGGGTTTTATTTTATTTTAAGCTTCCACTTCTCTTGTTTTCATGGTGATCGACCGGTGGTGAAACGATACAGCGCCAAAAAAAGAAGCGGCTTTCCATTCTCTTCTCGATGGAGATTTCTAAGGATTTACATCGGTATCTCAAACGACTTCAACTCTTTTCACAGATTTCTTCTCATCTGATTTTATGATTTCAGATTTCTTATTGGCGACTCATTTCCTCTCCCGTCGAGTTCGAAATTTTCACTCAAGGAAGTAATGGCAGCGGAAGATGATGAAGGGCCTTCAATGGTGCATTGTTTATTACACTATGGTAGTAGAGACGACGGTGTTGTTGATAGCCCTAAACAATAGTCATATTAAAAGAAATTATCAAAGAGAAAGGTACGTATCAGTTCTAGAGTTCTTATATAAAATTAGGTCATATGTACCCTTCTTATATAAAATTAATGAAATCGATTTTAAAAGCGAGCCATAATATCGATTTTGAAATTGAGCTTATTCCGGTAATATTCATGTTTGTAGAATTCGATTATTCTGGTTTTGCCCTAAGCATCGCCTCGACAGAAATGGAAGAACAAAGTGATTCGCTAAATTTGTTTTTCAGTTCGTATTGATCGCTAATTTTGTCCCAATCGCTTCCAATTTGATGTTCCAGATCAGTTTTAGATTCTAATTGGTAATTAGTATGGTAAGATTTTTCTTGATGTTGTACTTGATTGTGAGTGTATTTGATAATATCGATTGTTGAATTGGGACCTTATGGTTCTTCATTGTTATTTTATTATCAATTGTTGATCTGTTTTCCATATGAAAACTAAATCAATCAACAATGGAGTTGTGAATCAATTTGACTATCAAAACATGATTCTTTAACATGCTTGTTAGATGTTTGTTGAAATGTTTGAATACAATTGTTCAATTTCTAATGAAAGCTTATCGTCATTCTTTCTCTTCTAATTTCCGATTTTATTTTTCTGAATAGCAGTAACATCAATCGAGATTAGTCGAAATTGGTTTTTATGTTCTATAGTTGATACTTGAGAAACCCTTATATGTTTTTTTTTTTATTTTGTGAAAATTAATTCCAGGTGAAAACAGAAAATGGTATGTTGTGTTAGAAAATGACAATCATACCCCTGGTCACAGTAGTCTCATATCATTATTCCCATTATCCCCTTCACTCCAATGCCCATTATTAGAAGAAATCAATGAGCTCCATGCCAGCTGTTGCTGCTGGAAGTTGGTCTGATAATGAGATGAAAGATGATTGTTGCCAACCATCCTTAAAGGATTTGCAGCATAAAGTTTCTCTTAATCATGCCATACACTGTTATATAGTTCATGGTTCTGCATAAAGTGAAAACTTTTGCTTCTAGGTCATCCAAATGTACAATGTGATTTTTCATAACATCAGGTACAAATGTAGATTTTTCATAACATTGTTGAAAATCTTAAGTAGTTGAATGTGTGTTTCATAACATCATGTTCAAATGTACAATGTGATTTTTTTATTCAATTACAGGGTAATCTTATTCCGGAAGGCCATAAATTCTTATCTTTTCCCAGAGTTGCATAATGCTTGATATTGTTCAGGTTTGTTTCAATGCGTAATGTTGGACAGAAAAAATGATGGCATACTTGGAGAAATGGAAGTAAAAAATAAACGAGGGCATAATTTAAAAAAAGTTTGGACTTAATAGGGAAAGCCTAATTTCCGTTACTTTCCCTATTAGATTCCTCTTTCTAAATTAAGTCAAAAAGAAACATGCATATATAGCTAACCAGATAAAGTCTGGTCCCCACTAAGTCCATTAAGTGAAAACGAAACAAAATCTAATTAGTTACTTATGATCATCTCATTATTAGATAAACATGATACCTGGTTTCAGTCAAAGTTAAATTAACCATTTTATTGATACTTGTTATCTTAGGGATTCATCTCTTGAAGCTCACATAAAGTTTTTAGAATCTCTTTGTATTGCTGGTATTAGTCACCATAGTTTGTTGTTCTCCAAGATTGCTCCGGTGCCAGTCATGCAACATTTTGAACTGAGAAGGTGAGACCCCTAACAACTTTCAAGGGCATTATGGGGCTTCTAGATTCAAGGGCATTAAGGGATTTTCTAATATGTGCCCTAAGGCACATATAAGAAAATCTAATTATGGAAACTAATTGTATTCGAACAAAACTTATTAATTCTCTAGACTTCCTGCTGGGAAGGATGAATTTATCGGTGCTCAAATATTGTGACCTATTTAGTTATTCTAATCACATGGATATCTTTGTTTTGACGATGAAATTAAAAGATACATGGATTTGGGAATTTTTAACCTAATTGATACTTGATAGGACTTAGGAGTATCAACTATTATATGCTAAAGATTATACATTTATGAGTATTTTGTTTCTTGGCTAAAGCTAACTAAATTGGCTATGTTTCTTGTTCTTTTTCTTAACCAAAGTCTATCAACTTCGTGAATATTATTCTGACTTGTTTTGATATTTATTTTTGATATTTTGTTCTTAATGTTGGTCCTAACTTCTATTTATTTTTTTATTTTTTAAACAGTTACAAGGGATCTGAATAGGGGTTTCCTGAGTTTGTTGTGATGGCTGCAGACACTGAAGATTTTGAAATGATTTCCCATATTCCATTCCTTACTAAATATAAGGTGTGTTTCTAATATTTTTGTTCCTTCAAAAGAACAATTGGGGAGAGCATGTGGAGTTAAAAAACCGGTGCTTTCATGTTCGTTGACCAGCATTGAAAGAAGTCAACTAAGATCCCAAATCCAGCAACTCAAGGTTTACTTTATTATCTTCTCATAATCTTTAATCTAATTACACACTATCAGATCAATGTTTTTTCTGCAATTTCTTCTTGTACATTGCCTTCTACAAGTTACTGTCTGCTACTGTTTAGCATGATACAACCAAGGATTCTATTATGTTGAAGATTATTCGTGTTCTTCCCCCTGTTGTTCCTAGCAGTCAAGTGAAAGCAAACTCCTCAACATGGGAGGCATCGGGTGAGACATTAAACAACATTGACCATGAAGCAATGGTTGTTAACCCTGCCCTTGTATTAACCATCCAGGTTGGCAGTTGTCATTAAAACGATGATGTTTATTATTGTGATAAAATGTTTTGGTTTAACTTCACTGAATTATTATTATTCAGGTTATGTTGACTGACTTTGGGGTCGCAAAGCAATTTGATGAAAGCACAAGGTTAAATTCCATGTGTGGGACATTAGAAATTGTACAAGGGAGGGGCCATGATAAGGTCGCTGATTGGTGGAGTGTTGGAATTTTAATGTATGAAATGCTTACTAGAAAGGTTGGTGTGCTGTCACCCTTAATTACTTTTAATAAATCACTATTAAATTCCCCTTACTTTTAGAATGAGGGTAATAATGTAATTTTGTTCGACATTGTATCTTTGAAGCCTTCGGTTAGAGGTAGAAACAGACAGAAGATTCAGGAGAAAATAGTGAAGGACAAGATAAAGCTTCCAGGATTCTTGTCAAGTGAAGCACATTCGCTTTTGAAAGGGGTAATGTTGTAATTTGTAATACTATATGCATGTGTTATAGTTGTTGGTTAATATTATATGCATGGGAATACAACAATTTCTGTTTTGAGCTTTTCACCTGATGGAGAGGTACAACCGTTCATGCTATTTTAATAGATGATGAAACAGAAACACTACAAGTTTTTCAATTAATTTTAAATATATATATATATATATATATATATATATATATATATATATATATATATATATATATATATATATATATATATATATATATATATATATGTATATATATATATATGGTAGGGGTTGATAGCTTTCTCTTAGCTTGGTTGAATGATAAGATGGTGGTCATTGGGATCCATGTGATCAGAATTTCCCTGGTGCTCCAACATTTTTGCTAGGTAAACCCATCTAGCCAGACCTCTGCATTGCCTCCTACAAGGTCTATTACTCGTTATTATGATTTACGATTCTAAGGGTATTTAGGTCATTTACTCAGAATTTTGCATTTTCAATTTTACAGGTGGATCACACTTGCTTGGCTATACGTTATTCTGTATGCTTTCAAACTTGTCTTCTTCCTGAATTCTTTTTCTTTGTAAGTTTAGCCTTATTCTTTTCTTCAATTAAGTGTTATTTGGAGAATGTTTTATGAACAACAATAATCAACATTTTTTCCTTCTTTTTCTTGTATGAACAATACATAGTCATAGTTTGACTTAATTAGTTGCTTATTTTGTTTATTAGTTGCTTGTTTTCTAGCTTATTATAGTCACTGATTGGTTTCTTGTTATGCTTAAAACTTAATAGCTATCATGGCAACCTTCAACAGTAGTTTTGGACCGGCACATTCTTGCAAAAGATATCGTGTACGTGTTCTTCTGCTGCTATTGTGGATTCGGGAAAATCCTTTCTTACTAGTCCAACTATATGTATCTCACGTGAAGCTTTTGTTAGAATTATTAATCTTAGAGATTTCAAGTTTTTCATATTTCTTGTATCTAATTAGTTTGTATATTTCCGTTACAACTTTTATTGATTTGTTTTATCTTTCCATGGAACGGTTATTTGTATGACATTATATTTTGTGCAATGGATTGTATTTTTGTATATGATATTTTATTTATTAAGAGACATTAAATGAAAATTTAATTTGAAAATTAATAAATCTATAAATAATATTTTTTTTAAACATATAAAATTACGATACGCAAAATGTGTGTCATCTTCATTTATGACATGGCCTTTCTTGACAGGTGCTTCCTTGATACGCAATGTGTGTCATAAACACGCACGTCGTAAGGTTACGACACGCAAATGCGTGTCGTCGTCCTTTATGACAGGGCCTTTCTTAATACGCATTGCGCATCACAAATGTGTATCGTAAATGCAGGTCATAAATGCGCGTCGTGTATAGACGACACGCAAAAGCACGTCGTCTCTCTTTATGACAGGGCTTTCCTTGGCACGCATTTGCACGTCGTCTGAGTGTTTTACGATGCGCAATGAGCATCGTAAAAGGCTGTTTTTCTAGTAGTGTTTCATCTTTATGTTAAATGTAAAAGAATTTTTGCATAAGTCATGGTTTATACTAGTTTTTTGTATAAATATTTGTGATATACATATTGTTAAAAATAAACATAACCGATGAAATAAAACCATAATAAAGTTATGATTTTAAAACTACATGGTGTTTGGAAACTTTTCTAACAAATAGCTTTTCTAGCAAAAATCATTACATCTTAGCCATTTACTAATTTGGTGGGTTTTAACCCAAACAAATTATGTTTTGATTTCATATTTTGATACTAGACAAAATATGCATTTATATTTATATAAAAGATTATATAAATACTTTCAAACAAACAAGATACACTATAATTGATATAGTCATGCAGTTACAAACCACAACTACATTTTAGAAGACACATAAAATTGTTCAAAGATATACATATTTCGTTTTACAAGAAAAAGGAGTCATAGTTAACTTAAATTAGGTAATGCTCTTGTGAGACACTCTCTTCACCCTACCTACCTAGCATACACCTTAAGACCTAGATTATAACCAAAGTCTTCTGAAGGGAGATCAAGACCATTGTGTATAGTTATTTACGGGATTGACAACCCCACACCTCAGCTGTTCGTTGTAGTTAGACTGGCAAGTCTATGGTGACAAATGTCTTAGCAGCTCCAGTGGCTGAAGAAAGTCGTTTAGGAATATTAGTCATATTAGCATGGTTATAGTAACTCACATAGGGATTAACGATAGTATCTCGGTTTATGGGAAGCTTACTCTTCATTAGTTTTATAAAAAGATATAACCACATACTAACGTTGAGAACAACAATATTCATACATTTTTGGTCTTATGGTTTAAGACCACAGTTCATAGATAAGAAAATATTGGATTTTCAGGAAATATTCATTATCATTTTACAAGGACAAATACAAAGGAAATGCATACATTCACAACTCATTAAAGAAAATATTGGATTTTCTAGAAACAAACATTATTATTTTACAAGGAAAACATACACGGGAATTACATGCATTCCTAGCATATTAAAGAAAATATTAGATTTTCTAGAAGTATAAAAATCACTTTACACAAAAACAATACAAACCCTTTTCACACAAAAACTCTTATGAACTCACCAACTTAATTGTTGAAACTATTCAAAATCACATCTGTTCTTAGTAAACCAGTAGATAGGTGTTCAACCTTTCTTGGGGGCCGAAGTTTTCATTTCATGTTTTCTATTTTTTAGTTATCTGTATTATTCAATTGTTATGATACTATACACGAAGTCACTCCATCCGCCCTCAGTTGTTCTCGCCGTCTTGGTTTGGGGGTGTGACACCAATACCCTTCATGGAAAATATTAAACATGAAATATCCAAAGTAAAGCAATAGTTACTAATCCTATGAATTTTGTCTTCCTCTCCTTCATGTTTAAGGGCATTAACCATATGATAATGAGTTTTAAAATATGGTTTCAACTTTATAAGATCTTTAGACTGAGCTGTTGGCCTTCCTATTAGCATTATCATATAAGTTTGGGGGCTGCTCCTCTTTTGGATCTCACTGTCTTCTTCGAGCCTTATTAATCTGAGTGCTCTATTTGTTACATGATCTATTTTCTTGCATGGAGTCATTAAAATGTATTCTTTGAAAGGAGACTCCTTATTTAAGCCCATCTTGAAGGCTTCTATGGTAGTTTCCAAATTGATATTGGGAATACATAGAGCTTCTCTGCCAAATTTGTTCACAAAATACCTGAGGCATTCCTTAGGATCCTATATCAGATCATACAGATCACTAGTGATCTTTTTGAATGTTCTGCTACAAGAAAATTTATTGTTAAAAATATTAACTAAATGTGCAAACAAAGTAATAGAGTAAAGAGGAAAATTTAGCATCCAATTTAAGCTTGACCCTCTAGGGTCGAAACAAAGCCCTTGAATTGGAATGCTTCTTTCAAATGGGTAGGACTAGGGATGATCTCCATTCTTTTCATATATTTTGCCACATGTTCTTCAAGATCAGTAGTCCCATCTTAGGGTTTCATAATTGTAGTTTGGAAGCCGCTTTGGAATTTCGATGTTATCAATGCTAGAGACAATCTTGAAAGCATGTGGCTAGTTCGAAAGACTTCTAGTATAGGTTGGACTACGCTAGGCACACTTGAGATTATTTTTATTAAAATTGAATTTCCTTCGCCATGACCGAGCACATTCTTGCATCAATATCCATAGAGTTAGTAGTAAACTTATTATTATTCATGAAGTTACCAGGATCCTTTTTAGTGGCAGTGATGAAGGTTTCATCAGGTTCCTGAATGACATGAGCTAGCTCGTTTGGAGTTGTACCCCAAGGGAGACACAGGGTTGGCGTTGAGGATCCTATCTACCAGAGAATTCCTAAGGATCATGTACTGTCAAATTCTAGGATCTTGGGCTACAACATTGAGGGTGCTACTTCTTGGGGTTTGTGGACCTTCATCTTCATACTCTCTATTTCCTTAAGCATCGTTATGTTTTCCTCTTGTTACTGAGTAACATGGCATTCTATTCTCTTCATCATAGCGCATAAGTCGTTGTAGGAAATAATTACGGGATGATTCTGAAATCCTTGGGTGTGACCAAAGATGTGTTTTTCTTTGGTGTTTCTGTAGTTCTCTTGGGAGTTCTTCTTGGATATGCCGGAAGATTTTTATAGAAAATGGGAGGAATGCAGGAAGATGATATGATTAATAGGGCAGACAAGATTCTTAAAGGATTGTGGCCACAACAGCCCCACGGTGTGCGCCACATTGTTTTGGTCAAATATTGAAAAAAAATATTTAACCAAGATGTATGAGAGGTTGTGGTGTTTAAAGCAATGCAAATGTTGAATAGTAATCAAAATGAGACAAATGAATTACAAGGAAAGCCCTTGATCCTTGTTAGGATCTCCGACGTAAAACCTTGGGAGGTGATAATGATCACATGGCTTGTTTTATTTATTAATATCGAAGTAGGTTTATAGTGATAATGAATATAATACTAGTACAAATGAAGCAGTAGAGCTAGTTGTGTGTGGTTTATAGGTGTTACTTATAGTCTAAGCTAAATTACAAGAATGATATTTCTGGGGTCCTCCTTGAACAAGTATATACAGATTGTTTGACTTGGTATTATCAGGTCTTAAGCTTATTTGAAGAGATTTTTGTTGACAATGAGACGTGTGTTGACTAATTATGTACAGGTGAGAAAAAGAAAGAAGAATATAACTGTTAAAAGTGTTAGGAAATCTTAATGATAATTACCAGGATCCTAAGATATGTTTAAGGATCCTGCAACTTCAGGAATATTAATGATCCTGAATATGAGTGTAGGATCATGCCCCGAACATTTCTTATTCTAAATATTTGTTGTAAGATTTAGAAATCCTTTGGTTATATATAGCTATCTATAACTTGGCAAGATCCTTGAGTTTGTCCACTATTTTCAAGACCTTCACCAAGGATCTTGTCATTTTCTTTTTGGTCGTAGAATCTTCTCCCAGCTGGAAGGATCGTGATTTCTATAGGAATCACAACCTCAATGCTAAATATCAAATAATATGGTGTTCGTCCTATATGAAGTTTTGTGTGTGGTCCTATATCCCTAAAGAACCAAGGGTAATTTTTCAGGCCAACTTGATTTTTATTATGTGAGTCTTTTTTAAGGTTATTCACCATGATCTTGTTTCTCAACTCAGCTTTACAATTTGTTGAGGATGAACAACTATACAAGAGATAATCTGCATTCATTAACATGCATGGAAGTTTTGGGTTCTTTTACCTACAAACTGAAACCCATTATCACATATAATTTTAGATGGGATACCAAATGTGGTAAGGATGTTGTGTTTGATGAAGAATATCACTTATTTCTCTTTAACTTTGACAAAGGCTTCACCTTCAATCCACTTAAAGACATAATTAGTCATTCTTAACATGAAAACATAGACAACCGATGTTATAGGAAGTTTGTCATTAATATCCATCCTCCATTTTGTGAATAGTCATGGGGATATAATTGGTTGTAGAAATTTAGATGGTTGGTGCAAGATATCTATATGTTTTTATCATAAATCACATTTTTAGCATAATTCATTGCATCTTTCCTCGTTAACGGCCAACAGTAACTAGTCCTCAAGATCTTGGAGAAGTATTCTTTGCCCCTATATGGTGGTCACATTCTCCTTCATGAAGTTGTACCTATAGGCTTTTATTCAGAAGGATCTTGGGTTTTTTCATTTTTAGGGATGGATCCAACTTTCAGGTTGTAACACCTGGTTTTCACTTTACATTAGAATTTAAAAAAAAAAATATTAATTAAGTTTGAAAGTATCAACATATTACTTTTTAGCCAAAGTAATGATAATGAAATTGGTA